TGACATATCTGCAGAAATGATGTGATGCAGTCATGTGAACATGGAGCAGAGTCTCAAAGGAAAGTTTTAACATCATGAGGCTGTTTTCAGAACAAAGGGAGGAACTACCCAGTATTTGTATGGTGTTTTTAATAAAGGGCTTGGTGAGTGTTACAGCCATGAGACTGTTATTTTAGCATAAAGATTTGACACAAGGTAAAAGCAAACCTGGCTCTGTCCAAAGGTATGGATTAACAAACCATGTGACATGTTAACTAATGAGCTTTCAAGGTGCAGGGAGGCTAATTTTGTTACCTGAAACAAGCCAGGTTAGCTGTTTCTCCCATATTTCAAGTCTTTATGCTAGGCTATGCTAATGTCTTCTGGCTGTAGCTTCATATTTAACAGGTATGAGTGATATCAGTCCTCTCATCAAGAAACCAAGAAAGCGTATTTCCCAAAATGTTCAACTTGCTTCTAATTTAAATTATAATTTACTTGAAACCAACCGCAGGGTTTCACTTCATTTCTTAATAAATACAAGATGGAATCATAAGCTATCCATGGCACTTTTTGCACTTTGGCTCCCTGTTGTAAACTGTGTGGTGATGAATGAGCTGGACACAGTGAGAGTGAATGTAATACACAATGAAGAACCTGTCAAGTTCTACTTTGTTTCATAATTTGTCACTCACATTGTGTGAACGGTTGCTTGTGGCTTTTAATGTGTGGGTGGTGTTGTTTCTGGTTTATAGTTTGATGCTAAGAGTTTTAGCCACAGTCTTTGGTCGTGGTTGTTGTTGCAATTTTTGTCCTGTTGCTTTTCTTCCTCCTTCCTTCCTGGTTTTTAGTGGTCAGTTTGTGCTCTTGTGAACTTTTGGTAGTTTGTATTGGTTATGGTGTGAAATCCTGCTTCCTGCAGTCTTTCCAAGTGTACTTTGTGTTCAGGGAATTTGCATCTGCAGCTTCTGTGTGCTCACCTTCTCCTCTCAGTCTTTGATAAGTCTCTTTTTTCAAGGCTTAGTACTGAGCAATGACTAAGAATTTTAAATCTTAAGTGTGACTATATGTGTGTGTGTGTGTGCGCGCGTGTCTGTGTGTGTGTGTGTGTGTATGTGTGTCTGGTGATGCATGTATCATCTTTGTCATCTTCATGTCCGTGAATGGAGAATATGGATGCTACTTCCCACCCAAGAGACTTTAATTCACCTCAGTACAAAGAAGAGGTACACACGCACTTACGTGCACACACACACAGGCTCACTTACAGATGAAGCATGATTATGTGACACCCCTTATTCATATCACCGTCATACCATGCATCACAGCATGCCTTCTATTCCCTGTTTTCCAGATCATAAACTTATAAGGCCACTGACAGCCCCCTGGCAGAGTCAGATTCCTCTAAATCTAAATGATTTATCCTCCATCGTGCTCTCTTCCATCCTATCATCCACCCATTCATCTTTTTTTTTTCCTGTTCTATGTTGCTCACTTTGCCCATCCACCATTCTCCAGACAGCCTCGGACCCTGGAAACTCCTGAATGTCAGACTCTTGGCAGGAAGCTCTCTGACAGTGGCAGGTAAGGCATGTACTGTAGGCCAGCACATGTCGAATGGTGGCGTGTGAGCTCACTGACAGGATGAGCTTGAAATTACGTAACCAGACAATCATGCTTTTAATTGTCTATCACTTAAAGCTTCTCAAATCCAGTCACCGGTTTGCAGAAGAAGCCTTCTCATTTTGGAGTTAGTATTAGATTATCGGAGGTTTTCTGGCCTTTTACATAGACACAGAATAAATCATGGACCTTGTTTGATTTGAAAAGTAAATGTAAACTACATTAATTGTTAGTAACTGGAAATTGGTCGAGACTTTGAATAGGTTTATGGACATTTAGTGCTTAGCTTGATAAATTCAGTCAAATTATGATAATAAGTGTAGCTGAGTTTGATGATGTTGTTAGATATCTCCTCGGTCCTCTATAAATGCACATTCTTTTGTGTGGAGGTGAACTGATTGTATGACTCTGCTATCATCCACTGACCTGCAGTCACATTATAGTACATAAGCTTTATAAAACTGACATGATATCGAGCACACATTCAAAATGGATTTTTAAGTGCTCCTTGTGGACCTTGAAGGCAACAAAAGAATTCTGTCCATTACGTACATGATGTTTTAATCTTTTATCCTAGAAGTATGTTAATATATCATTTGGTTGGAAATGGTTGGATGTTCAGATATTGGTCCTTCAATAAGCCTTTTAAAGTAGCTCAAGCCATTTTCACATTTTTACACATTGTGAACTTTAAAGGTCCCATATTGTATAAAGGTAGATGTCCATGTCTTTTTTGATTATACGGCAGGTCTAGGTTTTGTATTAATTGTGAAAGTAATTGTTAGATTGTAAAAGTATCAAAGCCTCAGTCCACAGAGAAATGCACACAGCCTGTATTCAGAAACTGAGCCTTAAAACCAGCCGTCAGGACTTCTGGAACTTTGTGATGTCACTAACTATACAGTCACTGCCAACAGCCATGCCCCAAGAGCCTCTCTTCTGATTGGCTCACCAACCTGTTGTTACTAGAGCTCCAGAGAGAAGCCTGAGAGAGGAGATGTTAAACTTCATTGAGATGGTTTTTGGTTCTTAAAACCACAAATACTGTATATCTTCTTATGGATCAACACTTCAAATGAAACACAGGAGAAGTATAAAATATGGGACCTTTGATGTATGATTCATGATTCATTTTACACTTTTTGGATTACCTTTTATTTTCTTATTTATTTGTTTATTTTCTTTCTTCTTTCTGTTGCTTTTTTTCCTCGACCCCATCTTTCTTACCCCTCTTGTTCTTGCACGCTGCTGCTCACACATTGTGTTGCTTTGGCTTTGGGTTTGTATGAAACTTCATATGACTGCGCATTTGTGTGTGTATGCACTAGAATCAAGCCCACCTCCATATTAAGGGGCTCCAGAGGAAAGAAGGCCCCACGTCAGGTCCTTGGTAAGGGGATTCCCTTTGAATCATTGCCCCCTCTGTGACCCAGAGACACAGAGGCAGATCCCCTTCATTTCCTGTAGATACTGTCGAACACGGCTGCTCTTTCACTCCTACATATTTTTGTCAGTTTGTGTGCGAGTGTGTTTGTGCCACAACACAGCCTCCGTTGCTGCTGCTCCTCTGTGTTTGTGTATGTACTGTTCAGTATATGTGTTTTGTGGACATTTAAAGGTCATCGTTTATCAGTGTAATTTTGTAATTTTCTCGGTGTATGTGAGTGTTGTGTTCAGATTCTTTGTGTTAAATGCCTGTTTTGCATATATCAGCCCGTCTGGGCAATCTTCAGTCAGTATCTTAAAATGTTTAATGGGCTAATTTGTAAAACACAAGGGTAAAGAGATTAGTAATTACTACATTTGGCACCAGTCATTGTATTCTCTTGTCCTGCTATGAGTCGATGGCCAGGAAAATAACAATTAGGGCTGGGCGATATGGCCTATAAATAATAATAATAATATTTATAATAATATAATAATAATATTTTTAGGTCATAGCGTGATACACAATATATATCTCGATATTTTGAAATCTCCACAAAGCACTTTATAAATGTGCGATTAAACCTTTTGATGCATAAATCCCATCAGTATGACGATTCTTATCCCCGCAACATTTGTCTGTATTGAAACCCTCATGTTTACTGTTTATTCATTAGCGGTTTCGATTGGAACAATTTTAAATTTGCATGCACAAAGGTGGGACAACCAAGTTGGAAACTCTAAGCAACAAAAAAAAGTGCATCAACAAGAATCACAGAGACAAACGTTTAACCCAGTCCTGTTTCTTTTCTGGACCAGTTCGTTCACCTCCATCTTCAATTACCATTTCTGAACACGTATAAACCAAGCGGTAACCTCAACACTGAAGTGCCGAAAACATGCAGTTCCTCGAATGACCACTAGAGGCTCCAACAGTGAGTCAATCCCCATAGACTCCCATGTTAAAATGTCAAACCTTAGAGCAGAAATAAACATGTTTACAGCCTGATATAAAAAACTGTTTTGGTCTCTAGAGCTAATTTCCCCCTTCAGGACAACTGTTTATATAACTCACCTGTTTACATTTTATTAAGGCTTAAATGTATGCATAATTGCGTGGTCACCTTGAGTGACAGGTGGGTAAGTGTATGTTTGACACAATCCAGCATGCAACTCCACACATGCCCCTCCTTTTTTATCCATTTTTGGATCCATGTGGAGTTAGGGGCGGAGTCAGGCACTGCCAAGATTGCTCTGAGCTTCAGCAAACCTACGGGTGATGTCACAGAGGCTCCGTCCATCTTTATTTACATGTATGGTATAAAATGACTTTTTTCGCTCTCTCCACACACACACCTCACATATATCACACACTCTTTTGTGAGAGTGGATCCGAGTGAATGAATGTCTGCAGAAATGGTTGTACTGGTGCTTTAAAGGCCCTCACCTTCTCTCTGTGTTCCTCCTCTAAATCTTGATTTACTCTTTTTTTGGCAACAGGATCCCTGACTTTCAAACCCTGAACAAGCTGCACTTTGCTTAACTCTGTGAATGTGTTGTTGCCACTGATTTTTCACCAAAATATTGTTGCTGTTCTTTCATTTCCACAACTGATGCTTTTTACTGCAGCCGCATTCTGTTAATTCATTTCTTTAATGCAGCTTTATGTTTGATGTTACTCATCTTAAGACGAGATATGAAGCGACACCAGGTTCCACTTTTTCTTTGCCTTCAGATGAATCTCAACCACTTGTAATGTCAAAACTTTGTTGTGTGAAAACTGGCCAGTCAGAGCCCGGTGCTGCAGTGCACACCCGCGACCATAAACATATTGACTTTAATGTTGTTTTCTCTCCTTTTTATTCCCATTCTTTTCATCCTTGATTATTATTATTTTATTTTTTTTCATTCTTCTTCTTCTTTCCTCTCTCCTCTTCAACCCTCTGCTTCACTTTCATGTTATTTCGTGTTAGGGGCCACCTCCAAGGTGGTGCGTCTCTTTCCTCCTCAGTGACGTCCTCCTCAGCCCGCAGAGTGAGGCAACTCCCACAGCTTCCCCCCAAGAGCAGCACTGTAGAACAAGGTACAGTATATGTTGATGATTATTGTGTGTGTGTGTGTGTGTGTGTGTGTGTGTCTGCAGAACCGAATCATGCTTGAAAATGTTGCAGTCTTAGAGAGGCATATTTAATACTAGTATCCACCATAATGAGCCAGTAAGTGAGATACTGAACTCCCAGGCTTGAGGCAAAGGTACCTGGCATCCATAAAGACATCACAGGTGCAATTAGAGATGTTTCCTTCTGATTCCAATACCTGAACTTTGTGTATTTTATAACAGCTGTAGACTACTAATCCTGTGTGGATGTGATATGATTGCTGTCATTGTATGGTATGGCTCAGGTTAAACCCTTTGTAAACTCTGAATAGATGCATGAACGCCATAGAATCTCTCTCATATCATCTAATTGTCACAGAAAAATAAATAAATATAGGAATAAATGACATTTCCTACAGTTGTCTGAACACCAGTGCCACCTCTGGAAATGAAAGCCTAAAGCTCTAGCCTAAAGCCTAGCACGTTACACATCAGTTATTCTTCGCTGCTCTAAAACAGTAGTTTCCAGTGGCTGCACAGCGCAACTCCCTCTGTAGGTTACTGTTTAAGTTTGCGAAGAATTGATTTCCAGGAAAACTGCTGCTTTATTCAAGTGTGAAACTATAAAGTTTATTAATAAATCAAGGGGTATCAGATTAGTGCATAGACTAGCACTACTCGCCGATACCTGATAAAGTATTCTAGGCGGTATCAGAGGCGTTTCCGATACTAATATCGGTATCCGGACAACAGTGTTGATGCTCTGTACCTGGACTGATGCAGTGCCATCTAGACAGACATTCTCAGTACACTTAGTGCTCATGTCAAACTCCCATGCCCAAGTCTTCAGACTACACATGTTTTACCATGTGAATCATTCTCTGATATTTACAGTTGTGGTGAGGGAAGCAGGAGGATGACCAATCAGATCAGTGGAAACCCCCTTTAAATTAGAAATTTATACTTTGTACATTATCCACAGGGGAAATCTAAAGCCTGAACATGTACCTTACCAAAGGGTGCTTTGGCTGCTTGAAGGATTAAACCTAGCAAACTGGCCATTAACTCACCATTCCTCAACACTTGAGCTGTAGAACTAGGGCTGGGCGATAATTCAGTATTATTCATTTATCACCTTTGAGCATAATTATACGTTTATGACCTTATCATGTTATCTTTCTACAAATGCATATCATCTTTTCTCCAAATGAATGAACAAAATTAGTGAATAGTTTATTCTCTTGTGAAGCACTACATCAGAACACTGATCTGAACATCACTTATATTTATTTTTTAAACATAATTTTGTCACTTCCTGTGTGACACCAGTGCCCCCAGACCAAACCACTGGCAGGATGGGAATGTAATTCTGTTGCAGTTGTATATTTTTTAGGCTTTTGATAACATTTTAGTTATTCATTTGTCTATTTATTTATACAGTTTTAATAGTATATTCTTTTATTCTATGTTTATTTTCTGGATTTCCTTTTTATACCTTACTTTTATTTCTGGTGACTTACTTTATTTTCTACTTTTTTTTTCTGGTTTTACTCACTTCAGTAAATCTCCTCTGCTTTAGCATTTTATTTTTTTTCTATCTGTATCTTTGTTTTGGTGTTTCCTCAGTGCAAATGTATAAGGTTCATTTATCATTATTGCTCTATTGCTTTACTTAATTCACAGTTTAATTCATAGTATATTGTGTTTGTTGGATTATGTGTGTGTGTGTGTGTGTGTGTGTGTGTGTGTGTGTGTGTGTGTGTGTAGCCCTGGTAGCAGAGGAGCGTGTCCGTCAGCTCCAGATTAGGGTTCACTCCAACCGGGTGTCAGCTGCCACCACCTCCAGCCAACAGGACCTGGACAGAGCCCTCAAGAACAAACGGGAGGTGTGCCAGAACTTTTTTTTTTTTTTTTTTTGGTTTCATTTACCCCGACACTTCACCAGTTCACACAAACATATCAGGAAAGTAAAGAGCTGCAGCCTGAAACAATGAGCATTAATGCTGCTGAAGTGCATCACAGAGAACTGCATGCACCGTCTAAGGAAGTAATAAATAACATTATAATGATGGTGACGACCACTCTGTGAAATGAATGCGTTCCAACTGAGCAGTCACTCAAGAATTCACCTAACAGCGTGAATACAGAAGTGTATATTCTTTACTGGCCGGTTGTTCTATCCCTAACTTACAGAAAACTGACAGTTTAATGGTGATATTCCGTCTTTCGTACGTCTACACGCCATGAGCAGAACTTTTTTACATACGTCGTGAAAATGCTGTCTTTGTGATGCATTACAATGTCCCCCATCTGACTGAAAGTGGAGTGATTTAAATCTGAGCTTTCAGATCATCAGCACAAACTGACTGAAACATACAGAAGTGGCAGGTAATGCTGCGACATGAATTTAAAAACATAATAACAGGCAACAAGACAATACATACTTTTGATGGAAGGTGATCATTTTTAGATTTACAATAAAAATTAATTTTATTTTTTCATTTTTACAAAATCAAAATAGTTGATGGCTGCATAAGAGACAGGGTTTTTCTGGTGTTTTTTTTTCTGGACAAGATCAGATAAATAAAAATAAAAAAAACAACGTCTAATACCATCTTCACATATTCTTATATTGCTGCCAGGATACAGTATTGTGACATATCTTAAAGGGGCCACACACCTTCAGTACACCCACACAGGTGTTGTCACTTATTTGCCTAATTGGACCGTGGACGTGTCCGTGGAGAATTGGATGTTCCACAGACCATTCTCACTACAGAAGATTTGACTCGGCCTGGCAGGAAAAGCACAGTGCCTATTAAATGAGCCATTGAGTCAGAAGCACAATACCAGGGTCAGCAGTCAGAGCTCAGCTATTATCACCTTCACCTGTGTACTTCCTGCAGTCACATTCCAAAATGTCTGCTGGGCCTTTAAGCAACTGCTAAGCATGAAATCATTTTTTCGCAACATGGAAATTCCTCTCTCTGATTGTGAACTGTTATGGCTTAATAGGCATTTGATTGGTTAAGGAGCGTCATCAATGGACAGATTCCAAACCTAAGCTTTTTCAGTGCAGCTTTAAACCATGTAGCTTCTTGATGTTATATCAACACCTTTCCCGATGGTTTGATTATTGATTGATTTGTTTGATGTGTTTCCTGTGCAGCTCTACAAAGATCAGAGGAGGAGCAGTGAAAATGTTTCCCATAAGTCCTCAGACAGTGATGTCAGTGACGTGTCAGCCATCTCTCGAACCAGCAGTGCCTCTCGCATCAGTAGCACCAGCTACATGTCCATCCAGTCAGAGAGACCCCGGGGACGCTTCAGGTACACACACACACACACACACACACACACACACACACACACACACAGAAACACACTGAATGCCCATGTTTGCATATAAACTTAGTTTTGAATGACATCATGTGATTGATTTTATAACTCGTGAATGATCAGCCGGGCCATGCGCGCAACGGGCCGCCACATGATGAAGAGTACCAGCGTGAGTGGTGAGATCTACGGCATGGAGCACGCCGATGGCAGCCAATCAGACACAGCGCTGGGGAGCCTGGGGAGCGGGATCAAGAAGCGGCGCTCGAGCCTAAGCCAACGTGTTGTTGCCATCCTACCATCCAGACGCAGCCGGAGTACCTCGCAACTCAGCCAGACAGGTCAGGGAGCACACTGACTGACTGAGTCGGATACAAACACACACTTAGAGAGATAAAGAAACACAAGCACAAATAAGCAAGTAGAATCAGAGACATCCTGGGTGAAGTTCTACCTTTGACTGATCTATAATCTGTCGTTATCAACACTGTGCGTCTCCGGTATCCACACGGAAATCTGACTCGTCTCAACGCTCTCGTCAACTCTCGTCTAAACACACATCCACCGAACACTCACTTATTAACCACAATGTAATATACAGTAATGTAGAAAAATGAATTACATAGAATAGAGTAGAACATAGAATAGAAAGGTATTACATAGAAATAAAATTGCCTCTTATCTCAGCCTAAACTACTTGATATAACCACCCATAGACAGTGAAAGTTGTTGTGTGTATCATTTCATCTAAGAATCTCTTATCATAATCATTTTTAGGACATTAGTGTAATTACTGTAAATAAATAATACTGCTGCCAAGGAGACCGGCCGCCTCTAACAGCATCTAGTCTGTTTATATTGTGCTGTTGCCCTCCAGAGTCTTTGCCTTTGACAGATGATGGACAACAGGAAAAGATTAATATAAAATGCTTATTATTTTCTGCAAAGCTGAAGCAGCGTGTTTTGTGGGAAAAGTGATTTTATAAACTTTTTGTTAAAACTACTATATGTACATTTTTTAGGTGAGTACAGCATATTCAAATCATTCTAATGGCACATGCCTTTTTGGGGGAAATGAGACAATCACAGGAGGTAGTCGTGGCTGTAGATGTCAGTGTCTTTTTTGATACTACCACTGGGGGGCACCAAAGTCAGACAGTTTCAAATTCTACTGCTGAGGGAAATTGTAACAGGTGTGCATGAGGGTGTGAGGAGTCAGGTGACTGGGACAGGAGGGAGAATCACCTGGTGGCACCTGGTGGCTGGATGGAGAAATGGCAGGAGACATTGGAAGAACGGCCAAAATGAACAGGACTGGGGCAGGAGTCATGACAAACTGGTGTAGCTGGGTGTGGTTAGATGTAAGATGTAACCGCACCCGGCAGTGATGTCACACTGTACTGACACACCCTGTTGTACACTTCCACATCACTGCAGCACGGGGAGAAGTTGTTGGATCCCTGTTGGAACATTTTTTAAATCGTCTCATTAAGATCAATTTCACATAAACGTTCATAAATCAAATTTGGTGCGCACGCTCAGATGCTAGCTCTAATCTTTGCTGTTCAGTATTTGGCCTATAGTGGGCGCCAAAGATTAGAAAAGTTTATATCTCATTATTGTTTTTTCTGAAACTGAAAACACCTGATCTCTGGTCATTTTGCTGAACATTCAAATTTCCTCTGTGTTGATTCTGGTAATACTGTTGGGGTAAATCCAGAGGGGGTGTCGCTCCTCCACTAGATCCCTTGACTCCCACTGTTGTGGACTGGGTGTTAGAGACATAAGAGGCCGCTAAAATAATTCATATTTTCCTGTAGTCACGGTGTCGTACTGATCACCAGCACAATAATTCATACTGGTTACTTTTTCCAGGTCATTAAGTCATTCACTGTGTACTAATTTGAGAATAATAATGTTCAGAGTCCATTGCTGTCATCACAATCTGTCTCATCTCATGGTATAGTGATCTATACACACGTTCTTTGACAACAATGTCACTAATTTCAATCCAGCTTGACAATTTTATGTGAGCGTCTTGTTGGCTCTTGTCGTATGGTGCATATATGTGTGTTTGAAGCCCACTCATCACTTTCTTGTACCAAGAAATCACAACTACTGTGGAGTTTACATTTCTATAATAAATTAATATTAAGTAGTAATTTATTTTAATGTCAGACAGACCATTTTAAGAACTTCCCTCGACTACGCTCTGATCATCAATATTTATCAAGCATGGCCGCTGGTCAAAGGGGGTCTAAATCGCACACACACACACACACATACGCCCACACCCATATGGATATTGTACATAGAGACTTCAGTGCAGATAGACAAGAACCACTAGGTAACATGAATTAACACGGTAAACACATTCATACAGGTTTACGGGTGTATCCAGTGTTGCTGTTGTTTCTGATGTTGTTGTTTATGGGCTTTGTTGTTGTTGTGTGTGTTATTTCAGAAGCGGCGGGTAAGGCGGTGGACAGACAGAAAGGTAAAGCAATAGTCAGACAGACAGACAGACAGATAGACAGACAGACAGATAGACAGACAGACAGACAGACAATCAGTCAGACACTGTAAGACAAGAAGAAAAGTAAATTGTAAGTAACATGATTTCAGGTGATGCTCATGAAGACTTATAGATGCATTGTAGGTGCATAATAATCCTGAACAGCATGATATTATATATGAGGAAAAACATTTACAGGGTTACATCATTTCCATAGCAGCTGTTAGATGTACATTGTATTGAGTAATGTTATAGAATAAGTTCATTCATAAGTTTTAAGAGACACACGTGCAGACAGGATAGACCAAACTCAGGCAGACAGGAAACCACAGAGAGAATCAGTTGAAGAGAAGCTTTGTTAGACAGATAGAAATCCCCAGCATCTCCAGCCCTTCCTGAACTCTGTCTCTGGTACGCTTCCTGACTCCACCCTCTCCTCTCACCTTTATGTTTAAAGGCTGGTTCAGTTCTGCAATAAGCCCGGCTGTGTCATACATTATTGTCTCAGTAATTCACAGTGTTGGGGAGTACGTACTGTATCTGCCTTTTATTTAGCACTTTTTTTTTTAAATTTCAGTAAAATCTCATCAGACATCAAGTGTTCATGATAAACACAGCAGGCTTTTAAAAAGAGCTGAACTCTGCCTTTATTGTTGGATGTACACTGTCTTCAGTCTTCTTCAGTTTTACCTTTACATCTACCTTTACATGCTGAACATTCAAGGTACGAGCAGATTGACGTGTTACTTTCAGCCAGATCTTCCCCCGGTGACCTCACCTCCCTAAATAAGTCATTTAACACCAAAAAACTCCCAACTAAATGTGGTCATCTCAACAAAGCTGTATCCTAGCAACCAGAAGATGCGAATGTATTTGTTGTGTATTTTATTCATTATATGTTCAAATTTTTAAAGATGTTGGTGAGGTCACACTGGGATATTAATTTGCATGGGATGACCTGCTCAGTCTATAGTTATCAGGCTTGTCAGAGTTGATACAAAAAGTATGACTGGTAAAAGAGTCAACTCATCCTTCAAAAACTTGTAACCTAGTATTAAATTTCTAATCACGGTTTTGGGTAGGTGTGACATGAGATGCCTGATAACTGATGACAGTCTGGGTTTAAATCTCACATAAAGACCGGTGGCTTAACGCCTTCTTCTCTGTGTTTGCCACAGAGACGCAAACGGGTAAGAAGGCGGGTAAGGGCGGCAGCAGCAGCATCCAGAGGAGCGTGGAGACGGGCATGGCGGTGGAGTATCCACGGGGAGGCTCAGCCATGAACCGGCAGGCCAGCAGAGAGTCCACTGATGGCAGCATGAACAGCTACAGCTCTGAGGGGAAGTATGTGCACACAGTCTGCAGCATATGACCTACATGTGAACACAGAGTCGATTGTCTGTCCCAAGGTGCTTTAAGTGATTGTGTGTGATTCCATCATGCACACTGCACTTGCCTAAAGTTGGAGAACTCGCATGACACAGATTAAAAAAGAGATATTCTAACTTGTAGTCCGTAATACAGCTCAAACTCCACAAACACTGAATTCTACTTTTCCCAAAATGCAACCAAAAGTTTTATTAGATCTTCCCCGCCTGATAAACCTGCTTTCACACTCCATGCCCCTGACGGAAAACAATTAGAAAACACTGAAACTTTAACATCTACAGCTTAATGAAGTCACTTTCTGATATAACTTCATTAAGCTCTGAACCATAGCCAATATAACCCTGATGACATCATCAGGCACTACACTGTGCTGTGCTGTATAGTGCGGAGAAGTCAGGGAATCATTTTTTGTTTGTGTGTGTGTGTGTGTCAGTCTGATCTTCTCAGGGATGCGGTTGGGTGCCGACAGTCAGTTCAGTGACTTCCTGGATGGTTTAGGTCCTGGTCAGCTGGTGGGCCGGCAAACATTGGCAACACCTGCCATGGGTGAGTGACAGCTCCGGGTCTACAGCACATTTTATACGCAACATTTAAATATTTGATTTGCAGAAAAAATTGCATAATCAGTTTTTAAATGTATGTTAACATGTATCTCCTATTTGTACAGGTGATGTCCAGATTGGTTTGATGGATAAGAAAGGCCAGCTGGAAGTGGAGGTGATCAGGGCACGAGGCCTTACCCCCAAACCAGGCTCCAAATCCCTCCCAGGTAAAACACACTCACTCATATCTGTAAGCGTTTGATGACACAGCGAAAGTCAAATTCAGCCTGATGCAACCTGAACTCATTAGATTCACTTGTTTTACTCAGACCTACATAAATATCAAATTCAAACACATGCCCAACCCAACAAAGTGCCTCCCTCTTCCTCTTCCCCCCACTCTCTCTGCTCTCCCTATCTCCCTTTATGTCTCCTCCTGACCTCCCTCTTTCTATCTGTCCTTCCTCTTCCTCTCATTTTACTCCATCTTAACCCCACCCCTCCATCCCCAGCTCCCTACGTCAAGGTGTACCTGCTGGATAATGGAACTTGTAAAGCCAAAAAGAAAACCAAGATTGCACGAAAGACTCTGGAGCCTCTCTACCAGCAGCACCTGCTCTTTGAGGAGAGTCCCCAGGGCAAGGTGCTTCAGGTAATATTCTGTGTGTGTCTGTGTGTGTGTGTGTGTGTGTGTGGTGTGGTGGGTGGTGTGTGTGTGTGTGTGTGTGTGTGTGTGTGTGTGTGTGTGTGTGTGTGTGTGTGCGCACGCGCGTGTGTGTGTGTGTGTGTGTTTCTGTGGACATTTGGGAAGGTGTACCTAGTAACAAACCAATCACTACTCACTTTGTAATGAGAATGTCCAATAAAACCTGAATAAAAAACTTACTGTGATTAACGTCGTGCAGTAGTGAAAGCCACCACATTAGTTCTATAATTGTCTCTATAGCAGAGCTGTAGACTTGGACTTGAGGTTTGATCAACTAAAGACGTGCCTTGAGACTTAACAGTAAAAAACACTCAGATTCAAAGGATTTTTGCTATTGCTACATAGCTAACGTTAGCATTAGCATCTGTTTACTTGCCAGTCTAGAAGAAATGATTCACTCGATGCTCACTAGTTTAACCCATATGTACCATTCCCTGCTCCAGGTGATAGTCTGGGGCGACTACGGACGATTGGACCACAAATGTTTCATGGGTGTAGCACAGATCCTATTGGAGGACCTGGACCTGTCAAGCACGGTTATTGGCTGGTACAAACTGTTTCCGCCATCCTCATTGGTGGACCCTACATTAGCTCCACTCACGCGACTGGCATCTCAGACGTCATTGGACAGCTCAGGACCGCCGCCAGGCGTTCGGTCCTAGTGACCGGATGGCGACCGCAAACCCTCCTCCTCCCCCAAATATCCCTTAAATGACGAAATAATGGACCACAGCTCCTGGACCACAGCTGAGCAAAAGGGCGAGAACCCCGCCCCCGAGAACGACACCAAGAAGCCCTCGGTCAACCAATGAAAAGCCAGATGGAGAGACAGGGAATGAGAGAGAGAAAGAGAGAGAGGGAGAGACAGAACTAGCCAATCAAAGCTTAGCTGGAGTCTGACAATCATGTCTCACACCTTCCCTCTTCTTCCTCCTTACACCTTTTTGTTTTCAGAGCTTTGCTTTCTTTGTTTTCTCCTCCGACAGCAGCAGTAGAGCTTTCTGTCCAACATTCTTCACTTCTCTCTACTGTTTCTTCCTTTTCTTTGTTCTTACTCTCTTGTGCAGCCCCTATCAGAGCACTCGATCCAAGTGGAGTCCTCCACCCAGTAGCGCCCCAGCCAATCAGAGTAGAGCTTACTGTAAGGTCACAGGGATGAGTAGTCTAAACAATGTGTGGGAGTTAGTAGCAAACTGACGCAGATGTACCGCCACATATAGGTTGGTTGTCGTCCCTACCAGTGTTACCATGGTAACTTGTTGCAGATGAGCGTGAGGAGCAGCGGTTTGGCACAGTTTGATAACGTCTTAAGGTGAAGCGAGGCCGCACAAGCACGTGCACATTCTTAGCCTTGTTGTGAGATATGAAAGCAAGCACAAGAAGAGCTTGACTCCTTTATTGGGACAAACAGAAAACTTTGCTCTTTGTCTAAACAAAGAGGAAACAAAATAGAGGCCAAATTAACAATTTGCTTTTTTTTTTTTTTATTGTTTTTATTTGGAATCATTTTTTACGTCTTTGTTTTGCCTAGAGTTCAGAATGGTACCATAAGGTGCAGACTCCCTCTGTGTACGTGTATGTTTGGTTTTCGAGCGATGGTGCGCCAAAGGCCGACGATAAAGGTCAGGTCACATTCGCCCGAACACCTTTCACCCGATCCTCACCCCTTTACCCCGTCTCTCCCCGTTCCTAAACCCTCAGACTCCCCCTGCAGGAGGGAGCAGCATGACTCGGGGATGCCCCGCCCCCGGCCCCAAGCTGCATGCACGTTTCTTTTGTTCCGTTTGTTTCGTTTTTTTGTTTTGTTCTCTATACTTTTTTGTAGAATCGAAGACGAGACAAATTAACGAACAATTCTCAAAAAACAAAAACAGAAAAAAAGACTAGACTATGTGTGTTAGTTCCACATACTTTTAGGCCAGCTTGTATGTTGCATGTTCTTGTACAGTTTGCTCGTACTGAATATGAATACAAACCGAGAAAAGCCAAGCCATCCCCGCCCCCTAACAAGGAGCGGACCAGTGGGGGGAGGGGGTCAACTCCACCCAGGCCACGCCTACCACTCTGGGTCTAAATATCCATATTAGGAAGTCTCCGGAAAAAGTTCTTTTGTTTCCGTTTTTCTTTGAACCCTTTGAACAACAGTGCTGTTCTGTAGTACTGAGCATACTCGAGCCCCCGGTGTATCTGAGGATGTAGGTGTCTAAACTGTAGTTTACGACAGTCGGGGCTAGAGACAGAGATAGAGAATGTGTGTATAACAGCTAAATGTATATGAAGTATCATTATGAGTTTGACAGAAATGATAAAGATATAGATATATGAATATAAAAAGAGTGTATTTGACTGTACACCCGTCACCAACACACACACACATGCACACCTTGTACATACAAATCAGGATGAGCGGCTTAAACTTAAAGATATGAACTAACAGAAAAAAAAAAAACATCGCTGACACACAAACATTCCTGGTCTTGTTGAGGGGAGTTTGCGTCCTATTGATGCGCTCGGGCTGCTGAGCGGCACCGAGCCACAAGGGGGCGCTATAATAGGCCTTTATTTTTGTCCCAGCTGAAGAAAATTAGCAGAACCAATTAGAGCAAAGTTTACTTTCTTCTCCTTGAATCCCCCTTTCCCCGTTTATTATTACCATTGGTTTGGACTGGACTTCTAAAACCAAGGAGAAATCTGGTTTTGCAGACATATTTTGCGGATGTTTCTGTTGAAACCCTTGGCGGTGTGGCCGACTGCCCTTTCCTTTGTCAGTATTACTCCAGGGATACTGATTGTTTACAGCCCATGGCTCCCCACTCCCATACCACGATTCTAGACAAAAGACGAAGTATTCACTGCAACAGTTCTTGTTTGTATAACAGATGTGGCTCTACTGATGTGTATGTTTTATATTCAAGAGTTCATTTTTATTATTTACAAATAAAAGACTGTGTGGAAGAAGATCATGGCTTTTTCAAACAGAGTGGTCTCAAGTTATTATGAAGCAGGTGACTCCAGAGCCTCATTTAACGTGGAGAATGTGACTGTGACCTTTTATTTTTCGCTGGTGCTCATAGTAACACATACAAACCCTTTACCATTATGAACTTGCCATTTTCCAGCTTGTTCTTGGATCCACATGTTATGACTGAAGGTAAGAAAGATGATTCAGTGGAAAATGATTTGCAGTATTTCCTGTCTTGTTTTCACCACCACTCACACAAAGTTACATGTAAATGTGCTGGACTTTTATTCCCGCTCAGCAACCACTCCTATCATTCAGTAGGAGTGTATTGCTGTTGGTTAAAGGTCCATATTTTACACTTCTCCTGTGTTTTATTTGAAGTGTTGATCCATAAGAAGATATATTTGTGGTTAAGAACCAAAAACCATCTGAATGTAGTTTTACTTCTCCTCTCTCAGGCTTCTCTCTGGAGCTCTAGTTACAACAGGTCAGTGAGCCAATCAGAGGACTGGAGACTCTGAGCCTCTCTTCTGATTGACTTCTTTGAGTGATCTACTAAAAAATATAGCAGATTTCAAGTAAACACTCAAAGAACCACATCCTGCAAGGTTAGATGGTGGGTCTAGGTGGGCGGGGCTTGGGGTATGGCTGAGGGCAGTGACTGCTTTGTTGTGACATCACAAAAGTTCCAGAAGTGGTTAAAATCCTGTAATAGAGAAAGGAGTCTCAAGAAAGCAGTGTTAAAGTAATAGGATAAAGTTTGCATGAGGTGCAATACACAATTATTCATTTGTATAATATTGCTTAACCTTTGGCTTTTAGGTTGAAAACACTTTGTATATGACACATCAAGGTGAGTAATATTACATTGGTTGAAGTTGTATGATGAAAGGATTGGATATGTTTCTGAAAATTACCCTCTGCTGATAATTTAATGTTATAATAACTGACTCCAGGTGATAGTGAACAGTTTTTCATTTACTGGCTCTACATTTGTGTTAGTCTTCAGTCATATTTAGTTTCCATTTGAATTTAGACTGATCCTTGTTGCTCTCACCCCAGACTTCCACTGCCACCTTGTGGTGTGACTAGGGATAACTAATTTCTGTAATACCTTTACTGTACATGTAGTGTGTACTGTAAATGTGTGTTTCAGGCCAAGAAATCTGTTAAAATTTTATATACAGATCAGTATGTTCCAGACAAACCGAATGTTTTGAATAGTTCAACACACCACAGCGAGGTGTAGATAACCTCCCCCCATCCACGTCGAGCCGTCACACAAAAATGAACCAAATCTCAGTTTGTTCCTCACATTTTTAATTCCTTCACATTTTCTTTCCTTTTTTGTTGTTGTTGATATTGATTAATAGCCTCAATGTTACGAGACAAAAAAAACTGTATACAACAATGTAAAGCATGTACTGACACATGATGCATATTTGCATAGAAGTGCATTATTATTTATACACACATGGTGTACAGAATAACAGGACTCCTAAGGCTCATGAATGGTAAATTATTAAAGCATAGAAAAAGAGAGAGTGGAAATGTAAAAGAACATGAAGCAGGGATAGAAGTGATTTCTGCCGGTAAAGCTACACGTCACGTACGTCGTTTCCTTTAATCAAGTGACACAACAACATGTTGAGTAGCTTATTTGTTGCATAATGAGCACAGAAAGTCGGAAAGAATTTTGTCAGACTAAGTCATTTACTCACTCAGCATTTTTCTCTGCAATTGAGAATCAGTCATATCATCAAAAAACATTTAATTAGTCATATAATCTCCATCATGACGGGAAAAATCTTCAAATTTGCAGAATATGCTGAAAGATACTTTAAAAACCAGTGGCAAGAAAGTATTTTCCAAACTGGAACCTTTTTTTTTTATTTCAAACTACCTGGGGTTGTGATCTGCTCGTACTGAAAAGGAAGTACAAGTATTCAATAAGTGACACATTTTATGAACCTTATTGACATTCCATTTTCTTGTTTTTGTGACAAATGACTGGCCAATCCTCCAGCGACCAATGCAAAACACATTTAATGTGCGTTTAGTGCAAAACCTGTTTCCATAATCAACCAGGGTTTGTTGTAGCTATCCAGTGAATTACAGCTCGTTTAAACATGTGAAACAATGTGTAATAACTGATACTTCAAATGATTCATGGAGGGAAACTTTGTCTTGTATACAACAGGGGTTTTAACTACCAGTTTAAAGCAGTGTATTAGCTTCATTTGCTTCAAATTTGATGTTGTGTGTGTGTGTGTGTGTGTGTGTGAGAGAGAGAGAGAGAGAGAGTCACAGTATTCAGGTAGGCCTATACTTTTCAGCATTTAAAGTTGTTTGTGTCATATCCCATGGTGTTCATATGTGACATTTAATATTATTTTGTTCTTATATAACCTAAACATGTGTGAGACGGCGACATAAAATATAAACAGTTCAGGTTCAACTTCAACTTTATTATCCCTCAGAGGAAACACACACACAGAGCCCTGCAACAAAAAAATACATATAAACATATAATGTGAAACATAAACCACCACACAAGCTCACATAGTATACCATGTACATCAAGTGACAGAATATCCATCGATGTGAAGTATAGCCTCCATCATCAATCAGTGGTTAAAAACATCATCATCATGAGAAACATGTTGCAAACACCTTTAGTGCCATCTTGTGGTGAACAGAGTGAACTGAATTACCCACCCCTTGCAGATTTTGTTTAATTGATCCCTATGACGGGTATATTGTTGTGTTGACAAATGATTTAGATGACAAACTGAAAATGGCAGTTAAATAATAACAACAAAAGTCCAAAAACTGAACTTTAAATGATCAAGTTCTGGTTATGCAAAAATACTTAGGCCTTTCCTAACACAACCTTGTATGTAAACTATGTATGTACAGTACTGTATGTGTTATGCCTCTATGAATACATTCATGGTGGTATTTAAAACCTACTGATCCTTCAAAATACAAAGCAAGCAGCTTAGACATAGCATGCAAACAGGGCTCAGACTTTTTAGATTGTGTGCTACCTTCATTTCACAGTGTGATACAAGTGAGTATTTAATGGCTATTTATTTATATTTTACTTAAAAAAAAAAAAGACCCATCCTCATACAATCCCAATCAGATTAAGTTTCATATCTTTGGGAGGATTGAAACCTGATGGCTCTGTTGTAAAGTCCCATTCATTTGAAATCATTTCTGTTGGGCTTTTAATGTCTTCTGAACTGGACTATGACTCTTCAGATGCACAAATAAGCAACACAAATCATCTCCATTCGTGAATTCAGTTTACAAATAAATTACAGAATGACTGAGAAGAATTGTATCTTGTACCAGAATTGATTTTTTATCTAGTATATTAGGGAATATTGTATTGATTTACAGTGACGCCCATATTGGCTTTTTACTAACATATCAGAGTTGTCAGAGTAGCCCACTTCTGAAATGATGAAGACTCCTCCTCACCAGTCTGGAAATCCTGATGTGA